AGGTGCTTGAAGGGTTATCACCCTTTGAAAAATTGTTCAGCAAGAAACCCGAGTATTCTACACTAAAGTATTCGGGTGTCAATGCTTCCCTCACCTACGACCGTTCCAAAACCATAAATTGTCCTTTCAGTCACAACCTTGCACATACTTGGGTTTCAGTCCTCAGCATAAGGGTTACCAGTGTCTTGAGAGTAATAGAAGGGTTTATATATAACGTCATGTGGTATTTAATGAAATGGTCTTTCTTTTGTAGGAAAACATGCAGACAGTTCACAACACAAACATGCTAATTTTCAGCCACAAGATATTTCAATTGTTGTTGATGTTAATAAGTGGCACATAGTGGTTGCTCCAGCTAATGTTGAGGATGGTGTGCCTGAAGAATTGGTTAATACTTTTGCAGGAGAAGTTCAACAACAAATGATACCTGAGGTTGCTGCTGAGGTTACACTTCCCCTAGAACAGTCGATGAGGCCATACCTGTCTTAGATACAACCACGACTTCCAACTCAGATATAGGTTTTAATGCAGCTGGCACAGACTAACATGCTAGCACGGGAGTAGATGTGTCTGATAATGTTTCAAATGATTTCGAAAATGCTACTATAAACTTGGAGTAGCAAAACCGTCATCCCATGCTGACACGTAGCAAGTGTGGGATATTCAAACTCAAGTCGTATGCCAGTTACTTTGAGAATAAAATACTTGCCTCAGTTCATGAGGCACTACAGTCTTTTAACTGGAGAGAAGCAGTTCAAGTCGATATTGATACATTATAAAGAAATAACACGTGGTTAATAGTGAAACTTCCAGCAGGACACATACTTGTAGGTTGCAAGTGGTTGTTCAAACTCAAACGAAACCCGGATGACACCATTCATCGATATAAAGAGAGATTGGCTGCAAAGGGATTCTCTCAGGTGCCAGGATATGACTTCACTGACACTTTCAGTCCAGTTGTAAAGTTTTTCACCTTCAACATTGTGTTAGTTTTAGCTGTGACAAAGGGATTAGAATTGAGACATGTGGATATTAATAATGCATTCCTCAATGGGGACTTAGGTGAAGATGTTTTTATGCAGCAACCACCAAGGTTTGAGCAAGTGGTCGAGAATGGAATTCCCCTTGTTTGTAAATTACAAAAGGCTCTCTATGGTCTTCGACAAACACCTAGAAACTGGCATACAAAGCTCAAAGATAGTCTTGTGGAGATGGGATTTACTACATCTCGAGTAGATTTTTCGTTGTTTATCAGTATGGGACATGACAGTGACACTTATGTATTAGTGTATGTTGATGATATTATCATTACCGGGCACTCATCGAGCAGAATTCAAGAGGACTTGGGTCTGCTTAGTTACTTCTTGGGAATAGAAGTACATTGATCACAGGGAAACATTGTGTTAAGCAAAAAAAGGTTCATATTGGAGTTGTTAGATAAGTCTGGAATGAAAGATGCAACTAGTGTTGGAACGCCAATGGTCTTGTCTCCTAAATTGTCAGCAAATGAAGGGGAATTATTGTCTGATGCTACAGAATACCGTAGTATAGTTGGTTCTTTACTGTATGTGTATCATACGTCTTGATTTAGCTTATAATGTTGGGAAAGTGGCGCAGTTTATGCATGCACCATGTGTAACGCATATGATTATGGTCAAAAGGATATTAAGATACTTGGCGTGGTCAGTTGATTATGGTCTGTTGTTTCAACCGGCAGATGACTGGCTGGCGGTTGCAGCGTTTGCTGATGCAGACTGGGGAGGAAATATTAATGATCGACATTCCATGTCTGGTTATGGAGTCTTTGCTGGTAAGTGCCTTTTTGCTTAGAGTTTCAAGAAGCAGAAAACAATATCAAGGTGACGATGGAAGCTGAGTACAAGTGTGTAGCAGATAGTGCAGCTGAGGTAACCTGGGTAGGTGCTCTATTTGCTGATCTCAGATTGCAGCAACGTCAGGAACTAGTGATCTGGTATGACAATACAGGGGCTATTGTATGAGTGTAAACCTATTTATCACTCTCAATCTGAGCATATCGATATGGACGTACATTTTGTTCGATAGAAAGTTGATGCTAGACAGATGTTAGTAAACTACATATCGGCTACGCACTAGATTGCTGATGGATTCACCAAGGTGTTGTCTAAAATGGCGTTTGAGGAGTTTCACAAAAATGTGTGTGTGGTGTCTACGATCTAAGTAAAAAAATAACAAGATAAGGAAGAGTTGGGGGAATGTTATGATGCATTGAAGAGGAAGTAAGAAGAGTAGGGGTAATGTTAGAGTGTCGTTAAAGGAGTAATACACGTGTAACAAGTAGACAATTAGTCTGTTAGTATGGTTAGCTAGGTTGCTAGTCAGTTGATGAGCTTAGATTTTCATTATAAATGTAATGTAGATGCTGAGATGAATAACACACATTCTTTCCTGTGTATAATTATTGTTTGCAGTAGATTCTCAATAGTCACAAGGGAAAAAGTGGCATTTTCAAGCCAAAAATTTCATTTATCGATGTTTTCAAAGTTGTTGAATTTCCTTAAAACCTAGATGGAGCCTCAATTTGTTCCAGCGGCTTTTAAAAATTATAACTGAAAAAAGGCAATGTAAGTTGAGTATCAAGCCCTAGTTCAGAATAAGTTATGTCACTTAGTTCCTCCATCTTCAAAGCATTCTTTGGTTAAAAGTAAGTGGGTTTTGAAGATCAAATATAGTCTAAGTGGAAACATTGATCGTTACAAAGCGAGATTGGTTGCCAAGGGATTTCACCAAACTCCTATAGTTAATTTTTTTGAGACGTTCAGTCCGTCATCAAGCCCACTATGATAAGGATTGTGTTGACTATTGTTGTCTCAAAAGGATGGGCGATTCGAAAACTAGATACTAACAATGCATTTTTGAATGGATTATTGGTTGAAGATGTGTACATGGTGCAACAATAGGGGTTCATTGATCCTAAAAAACAGATTTTGTGTGCAAGCTTGACAAGGCCATCTATGGCCTCAAAAAATCTCCTCGTGTTTGGTTTGACAGGTTGAAATACACATTTAAAGTCTGATACATCTCTTCTTCTTCAAGTCTAACAACAAAATCTTATTTATACTTGTTTATGTTAACGACATTTTGATCACAGTCAATGACAATGAACTCGTATAAACTTTCATTAAGAGGTTAAATAATATTTTTGCTTTAAAAGACATGGGGTCTCTACATAATTTTCTCGACATTGAAGTTCATAGATATGAGTCTAGTATGTTTCTCATGTAATCTAAATATATTAAAGATTTGCTACAAAAACTGATATGGAAAGTGTTAAAGCTTGTTCAACACCTCTTACTGCTAGGAAAAATATGTCTAAAGAAGAATGAGAAGTCATGAGGAATCCAATTTCTTATAGACATATTATAGGAGCTCTTCAATATCTCACACACACTCGGCCATATATAGCGTATGATGTCAATAAATTGAGTCAGTTTCTTCAACAACCAACTATGGTTTATTGGCAAGCAGTCAAAAGGGTTCTTCGTTACTGAGTGGTACAATTTCAGTTGGGTTACATATCAAATACAATGACAGACTTTGTTTAAGTGGTTTTCAGATGTTGATTTGGCGAGTTGCCCAAATGATCATCGTTCAGTTACGGGGTATTGGGTTTACTTTGGTGACACTTTGATTTCTTGGTCTTCTAAGAAACATGTTGGTGCCAGATCAAGCACAGAGTCTGAGTACAGGTCCTTAGCAAATCTTGTTGTAGAAATGTCGTGGATTACTTCACTTCTCAAAGTGTTTTCATTCCCTCTACCTTCCAAACCCATATTATGGGTTGATAACTTAAGTGCAGCTGCTCTCACTGCTAATCTTGTGCACCATGCTCAAACAAAGCATATCGAAATAGATGTTCACTTTGTTATTAATATGGTTTTAAGGAAAGATATAGAAATTCGATATGTTCCATCACATGATCAGATACTGACTATCTTACGAAGGCGCTAACAAATTCTCAGTTTCAATTCTAGCGTGACAAACTTGGTGTGATTGAATCACCCTTTCGTTTGAGGGGGAGAGTTAAAGCAACGCAATTGTTGCTGTTATTTTGATGCCAAGTCTTCAGCCTAAATTTCAGCTAGTTTACTTAGTAATATTGGTTAGTTGTTTCTATTTTATTGCCAAATTTTTTCCATGTATTTCCTTTATTTTCTGTCAAGTAGTTTGTATTTTACTATACAAATACAAGAGTACAGTAGCAATATGTGTGTGATGCATTATTCTATCACCGTTGCTTTCATATTTATTTTCTATCTTGACACGTCAATATTACCATTACTTTTTAGCAGCAAACGACCAAAATAAAACCATAACTAATCATTAAGTATAATTTTGAAGAAAAAAAAACAATTAGATAACCAAAACATAGTAAAAATGATATTAAGATACTAAATGTGTAGTTTACCCTTCATATAGTTACACAGTTTTTGTTTTAGCCCAAAAGATGTTAGCCTAGTCATAAAAAGACTTGTAAGACACCAAAGTCCAAGATGAAGCCCTTTTTGGAATGAAAAAAAAAACTTTTTTTAACCTCAAAAGGCGAGGAAAAATAAAATAAATAAAAGTGAGGAATAATATCCAATTGTTTTTTTTCATCTTTATAATTCTCACAATCTGAATATTTACAAAGTAAATATTTCCCTTTATATCAATATATCACAGCCACAAAGATTAAATTCCATTAAATCGTAATTAGCATAATAAAAAATTAATTAAAATTGTAGCATTTGCTTTAGATGCGAGAAAATTTCAATGATTCATTGACCACTTCAAGGAAGAATACTCTCCACCAAAGTCCCGCCAAATTTTCTATTTTTTATTTTCAATGTTTTACAACTCAAAATTATTTATTCAAAATTCACGTATATTTTAATAATATCATCTCTACAATTTAAATATAAATATAAATAATACAATAATAGTTTTAAAATATTAATTATTTAAAAATTAAGAATAACTTTAACCTTTTCTGAAGATAAATTCATCATCTTATACTTTGGATCGAATTTTCTGAATGAGTTCTCTTCTCAGAATCTTTCCAGAAATGGACCTGGGGACACTTTCCACAAAAGTAACAGATCGCAGTCTTTTAAAATGTGCAACCTATAAACAGATTAAGATGATATGCATTACAACGATTAGTCTTATTACAAGCCTACCAAAACATTATTAAAGTAGCAAAGGAAAATACAACAACCTCTCACCTTGTTTCCACAAACTGTTTAACATCTTCTTCCGTTAGTGAGCTGTAGGAAGCTCGAACAACGTATGCAATCGGAACCTCTCCAGCTTTAACATCAGGGAATCTAAAAACAAATGTAAAGAAAATTGAAAATACGAAAAAAAAAATTGAAAAAGAAATAAGAGATCAAACTATACTTACGGAATAACAACGGCGTCAACGATGTTGGGATGAGAAAGAAGTAACCCTTCTAGCTCTGCCGGTGCGACCTAACAGATTAGCTTACAAATACATTAAGTGAAACAAATAGGGATGCACACTTTTAACACAATCACAGTTGAAGAAGGAAAAAGTTTAGGGACGAATATAAAATTTTATGTTTAAAGATCAAATTATAAAATTTTAGAAAAAAATAAATTTATAAAATTTTAAGAAACGAGATGTCTGAAAGTTTTACCTGAAAACCATAACATTTGATGAGCTCCTTTATACGATCTACAACAAATAATTGTCCTTGTTCATCGAAATATCCTAGATCGCCTGTATGCAGCCACCCTTCTTCATCTATACCGACCTTCGTAGCCTCTGGATTGTTATAATAACCTGACAATAATAATACATATGAATATTTAATGTATAAATAAATATATAATTTTATATACTATCAATAAATTGAATATTTATCCAAAAAATAATTCATAAATCATTTTAACAATTAGTTTAGCTTATATATAGTCATAACCTATGTTTTATCAAACACTAAATAATAATAAAAAGTATGGATATATATATAAAAAAAGTTATATTAAACATATAAAATTTTATAAGTTATATTAAAAAAAAATTAAAAAAAACAAAATTAAATTATTGATAAAGATATAACTTAAATTTTAGGGTAAATTACACGTTTAATATTTAAACTATTACTTTTATTCCATTTTGATATCTTTTTTTTTAAAAAACGATATCTAATTTTTAGTTTATATTTCAATTTGATAACCCACCACTAAAAAGTTAACAAAACTGTTGACGTGACCTTTTTTCAATGATAATGTGACATTACTTTATTATGACATATTAACATCACGTTAAATTTTTACAGTGGAGTATTAAATTGAAACATAAACTAAATATTAAGTATGATTTAAAAAAAGATTTAAGTACTAAAATGCAATAAAAATAATAGTTTAAGTATTAAATGTGTAACTTACCTTAACTTTTATGAAAAAATTATTTTTTTATTAAAGATGTGACGTGTACCAACATCCATCTCTCTCCATTTTATACCATAAAAAACCAGCAATTAATGCTTTTAATACGTTAGGCACGTTTTTTTACAGGCCACGTTAATAGAAACAATCAGGTAATCCTTAAATACTAAAGTTACACTACGTTCACCTGAAAACCTTAACAACTTCCACCAGGTTCACTTAAGAATTCTAACAACCTCAAATTATTCATCATCTTTCATCATACTTCTGAAAAGATAGGTAACTATCATGCATGTTTGATCTTGGAACGGAGTCAAAATAAAATATTTAGAGTCGAATATAAATAATAATAAATTATATAATATAATTAAATTATTAAGTAATCAATTAAAATTAATAAAGGTTTAAAATTAAAACACTTGATTTAATCTACCTAATTTTAAAATCAATATAAACCTCAAAAGTTGGGGGAGTGGCAGCCCCACAAAATACATGGCTTCGTCTCCGGTCTTGTCACTAAAGCAGCCAGCAAACTTATTTAATTTCCGACAACTATAATATTGTTGGATAAAAAGGACAGTAGTTCATGCATGTTTTGTAACTGAAGTATTAAGCAAAGTAGCAAACAAATATCATGCGGGATGTATACGTTATTGATGATTAAAAAAGAATTATAATAAGACACTATCTTTTTAATCAGCTTGTACAATTAAAAAAGCAGTATTACCTGATGTAACAGTAGGTCCTCGAATCCATATTTCTCCTATCTGATTTGGTGGAAGGGAATTCATTGTGTTTACACCCACAATTTTGGACTGTATAAGAGGCATCAGAGTTCCGGTTGAACCCGAAAAACGACGGCCTTCCTTCGGATCCTCTAGTGAAATTTTCCCACAAGCTTCTGTCATACCATACCCCTGCACCACGAGTGTGTTTGTTTCAAATTAACACGATAATTTGTTAACATAGTTCACTGATAATATATAAAATTATACACCGTCGATACATCAAGTATTCGAAACCGTCGATAATTATATAAGATGAATGGGAAAAAGAACCAAGTATTCTACAATCTCAAGACAGTATTCCAACATGTTGTGTAATAGATCTGAAACACTTGTCACCCATTTCATTATATGCGATTGTAAAAAGTACCTGGAAAATTTGAACGTGGGGCAAAATATCGGCACATGTCTCGATTAAATCTCTGCTCAGTGGGGCTGCACTGGAGATAATCTGCTTCAACGACGATAGATCATACTTATCTTTTACCATCGTCCATTGCTTTGCTAAAGAAACCATGACCGGCGGGACGACAAACATGTGCGTGACCTTTTGTTTTTCGATGGCACCCAACACCTTTTCTAGCCCAAACTTGGCCATCGAAACCAACACATTTCCTCTTCTCAGTTGTGCCAACGACAAGACAGTACCGAACCCATGAGACATCGGCAAGAAACATAAACAAACGTTCCTTCCTTCCCTATACCTGTCTTGATCGGCCGTGAAATTCAACGTCGAAGCGATGAAATTTCTATGTGTCAGCATTACCCCTTTACTTGTTCCGGTCGTTCCGGACGAGTACATCAATGCCGCCACATCGTCTTGCTTCACATCATCATCTGGATTCGAAGATTGTTCGGCGTAGCTCTTTATAATATCCGTGTAGTAAGAGAATTTCGGAGTAGCCGAGAATTCGGGGGAACTTGGTGATTGGAACAAGAACACCAAGGGAACATTGAACCGGTTAACTTTGTTGTAAAGCTCAGGGATTGTGATGATCACCTTAGGATTGCAGTCTTTGACTTGTTTGGATAACTCATCGAAAGTGAATGAAGGGTTGGCAGTGGTGGCAATGGCACCGATAGAGACAATAGCAAGGAAAGAGACGGGAAAACGTATCGAGTTGGAAGCGACGATAAGGACGACGTCGTTTTTATCGACGTGAAACCGGTGGCGCAAACCATAAGCAAGAGCTGAAACATGATCTTTGAGTTGATGAAAAGTTATGGTATGGTCGGAATCGGCGTCAACGAGAGCGGTACGATGAGGGAAGGAGGAAGTGGACCGGAATATGAAGGAAGTGAGCGAGAGATCAGAGCTTGTTGGGAGCTGGATAGGGGGCCTTGGCGAATTGTACGTTTGAGTTTCTGGATTGAAAGAAGAATTTGCCATCGGTGTGGGATTGTTGTTGAAAGCTTATGTTTTTCGCAAAGTTTAAATAGATTATAATTACAGTTGGTGGATGAAAATATAAAAAAATTAATGATGAATTATTAAGTTTGAATTCGTTATAATACACAATGTTGTACATCAATTGGCCATCTTGTTGAATTGGAGGTCGTGGTCTTTGGTCTGCTCATTCGGCTGATTTCAGTATTTGTTGAATTGGTGTTTGTAATGTAAATATTGGATCGGGTTGTAAAATTCAATGAGTTGAATTGAGAGTTGCTAGAACTAGAGAATCAGTCTTAACTGGAACCAAAATAAATCGATTAAATATCAGTAATAACCGAATTTTGTGTTAAAAGACTAAACTTAATACTTACTTATATCATTATTAAATTAAAATATTCTATTAACTATTTACTTTAAAATAAATATTATAATATTATGAATAATAAATTAGTCTTTTAATTTAATAATGATATAAGTAAGTATTAAGTTGAATATAATAAATAAATAAATAAATATTTTTAAAATTATGTAATATTATTTCATTTAAATAAATAATATAACTTTAAAAATTAAATAAATATTTTAAAATATTTTAAAAATTAAATAATATTATTTTAAAAACTATTGGTTGCCGACCGTCGATATTCATTATTTTTCCTTTGCTTTATTAGATCGTATTCTTTATTTTTTTATTCTTTATAGTTATGCCAGTTTGACACATATTCTTCTGTCTTTATGATATATTTTTCTCTGTCTCTATGACACGTTTTCGATTGCTTGATCATTGTTTTCGTTAATTTTTTCATGGTTGGGTTTGACATCACCACGACTAATCAATATGTCGCTTATTTGTTATCATGATGATCTTCCTTGCTTTGGACCCTCGGATTGAATTTAGATATGCGATTTGCGTTAGTGGATAGTATTTTCACATCGCACAATTCTGATTTGCCGTATGTGGTGGTCTTTCAATAACTTTATTCCCTTTTGTAGTTCATTTGCCAATGCAGTTAAATCTATTCGTATTTATCTCTTGTTCGAGTTTATTTGGTTGAGTTTTTTAACATTTTCCTTGTATAGTCCTTGTATAATCTTAGGTGGCTAATTTTATTGTGGTTAGGAAAATATTCTTACTATATGTTTAATTTACAGCTGTGTTGTAAACCTTCATTGTAATTTGAATATTTTCTACTTTTAATAAAATTAGTGGCTTCTATAAAAAATAAAATTAAATAAATAATTTTAAAATATTATAAATATAATTTTTTAAAAGGATTCGATTCAAATCTTATAAAAATACATAAATTATTTAATTAATTTTTATTTCTAAATAAAGTGCAAATTTAGTGTTTTAATTTAATAATGATATAAGTATCAAGTTTAGTATAATAGATAAAGATTCACACTACAGTATGGCTAAGTTTTCGATCATTAATTTAAAGTGTCTTATATTTAAATCTTATAATCATCAGAAAATATTTATTTTATGGTGATACTGTTATATAAGTTAAATACAAAATGTGATGAAATTAACTTAATTGACTAGCTTAACTCAATGATTGAGTGTCTTGCGTCTAATGCAAGTATCACCATATAATTGGTGGTACCATTATATAAATAATGTTTTCTTTCATTTTATCCTCATAGGTGATGACATGTGTCACTACCTAATTGGTTGAATAAAATTAATGAAAAATTATTGACGTAGAAAAAAAAAGATGATGTGAAAATTAAAAATACTAAAAATCGACATGTCATGCCACATCAACATTGCCGTTAAGTTTTTAACGACATAATATCAATTGAAACTTAAACTATAAGTTAGGTATATTTTTTTAAAATAAAATAAAATTTAGGTACTAAAACAAAATAAAAGTGATAATTTAGGCGGTAAACATGTTATTTACCCTTTTAATATTTACTTAATAAAGACAAATTAGTTAATGGTGTGTTTCGGTGTGCAATGATGTGGTATTTCACGTTCAATGTAGACTCATCCTTAATGAAAGATATGTATATATTTATTATTTATAATTATAATAATAAAATATCATTTTGTTTTTAAGTTTTCACGACAATAAATGTGTCTAGGCTTTTAGAGTAGATCAAAGCTTGTTGGGAGCTGATTGGGGATGAATTGAATGAATTTAAATTTGGTTTGGTAAAGTTTAAATAGATTATATGTAAAGTACTTGGGGTACTTAAAAATATAATTAATTAACGATGAATTATCAAGTTTGAATTTGTTATCGTTCAAAAATAAACAATCTTGTACGTCAATTGCCCATCTTGTTGAAGTGGCGGTCCTGGTCTTTGGTCTGCTCATTCGGCTGCTTTCAGAATTCGTTAAAGATTTATTGATTTATTTATTTTTAGATTAATGAGCGCCATAAGCTTCATAGGTGATCGTTTTAGTAATGTATTTCAGTATGCGATATTTACTGTAGAATTTTTCAGACAAAATACGATAAATTTTATATTTATTACCGATTACACTTTTATTATTTATATATGTAGTTTTGTTAGATAGTGATTAATGTAGTGTCTCTTTCTTCAAATACTTTTAATAGAACAAAAAAACTACATATAATTGTAGAATTATTGTCAATTAATCAAAATAAACTGTTCTAAGATTATAGAATAATGTTATAAAATAATTGTTGAAAAATATATTGATGATGGTTCGAATATGCTGAGTATTCGAAAAGCTCATCATGTAATTGAAGTCGTCATCAATCCTTTTTTGCTAGATACAACTGAATACTTAAATATAATAGTTTATATCTGTCGAAACCGTTTTTTGCACGGGTTAGGAAAAATTTTGTACGACTTGGGGTTTTTCTTTAAAAAGATTTTGAAATGTTTTGGAGTCGCCATCAACCTTTTTAGGTTAGATAGGTCGAATATCTAAAAATTTTCTTTTAAAATAGTTTTTTTAAGAAAACATCATTTTAAAAGATAAATTAGTCTATGTGTAACCATATATTCATTCTTTTTTGAAATAAAAAAGAGTTTTGTGGATCGATTACGTGTGGGGAAGGATAAACTCTCTCACAACGCCCAAAATTAGTACCCCAATCGATTATAAATTGTCTATAATAGTGAAAATCTAATAATTCAAATATAAATTTAAGTTACTATCCCATTATTCTAAATTCAACCATGCAATTTTTATTTAATGAAAAATTCTTAGGAGAAATAGAAAATATTCCGATATTTCCAATCGAAGAGAAAATAATCCCTAAAATACTTTGGAATGAATATTTCTCTTTCCAACTGAAATAAAATGAATATAATAATTTTTCCTAAGAATTCAAGGTTAAAATAATTTTATTCGACAAAAAAAGAGAAATTAAGCCAATTTATCCAAATTATATACGATTAGAAAAGATAAGGGACATTCAATTATTTAAAAATATCGAGACTTAATCCCTAATAAAATTAAGCGAATTGTCTCGATAAGTTTAAATAAGCGAATATTTCCTTTTCCCTTCAAACTTTATTAATTTTAATGTAATCATTTTTTTGTTTTTCTAATGGATTATTTATTTATTTTAAAACATCGAAAAATGACATCTAATTACTTTAAGACAATAACTTTTTAATATTTTAAAATAAATAAATACCACCCATAATCCAATTATGTAATCGGTTAAGTTATGCACATGAGGGTATTATACCGTGTAATTAGAGGATGACCTAGAGACTATATAAATATACCATAGATACATATACATTAAATGTAATAACATATAAATCTCCTATGAAGGTAAATATAATATAACATAACCCGTAAAAACAAAGTATATATAATTATATACATTACCTATATGGGTAATTATGGTGACGACAAAATAAAAATATACATCAATTACCTTAATAGGTAAATATAATAATATAATATAAAACATAACAACAGAATATATGTATTCTTATAAATTATCATATAGGTAAATAATATAAAGACACAATAGACTATATGAAAGAAAAACACATATATAAATATGAACATATAAGTATATATATAAATTACCTACATAAGTAAATATAACACAATAAAAACATAATATTGCAAAATATATATATCCGTAGATTACCTATATAAGTAAAGATAACATAAAAAAAGAACTAAAATGTAAATAAATAAATCAACATATCCAAAATAAAAATAAAATAAAGTGAAAGAGTGACCAAAATATAAACGAAATGAAATTAATATGCAAACTCGAACTAATAAAACTGGGAGAACTAAATGAAAATTCATGGCAAAAGTGTGGGGAACTAAGTGGTGGTTAAACTAAATGTATTGACCATAACACAAAAGGTACTAAAATAGGGGGCCTAGGCGTGATTTACCCATGCGGTATTTGGAGGGAACATTAACCTCCAAAACTACGTAGTTTTGGTTCTATAATATATATATATATATGCTATTATAAGGTTTTGGCTAAACTTAGCCCTCATTTTCTTTCCAGTGGCCGACCCTCCCCTTGTTTTTCTCTCAACTTTCATTTCCTTTACCTTTAAACCTTTAAAAATAAACGAAAAATACCTTAAATGTTAGATCTACCTCCCCTCGTCGTCGGTGAGAAGTCTTAAAACCGAGGTAAGGTCTTTAATTTTTTTCTTTATTTTCTAGAACTGATCCTTTTCTTTTCCTTTTTTTTTTGGGTTTTTGAAACTAAAAAAGAAAGTTTTTGTTTTTGTTTTTTTAACATGCAAGGCTTTTTTTCAAACTAGAAAAATAAATAAAAATATACCTCCAACAAAAACGTCCTAATCTCGGCTTTTTATTGCTTTCTTGTAGATCTGAAAAAACCTCCTCTATTACAGTTTTTGTTCGGGTTTATATAGCCCGATTTGTACATTTTTTATTAGTTTTTCCTTTTCTTTTTGCTAGTTTTTTCAAAAATAAAATGGTGTTCTGTGTGGATCCAGCTGGAGAAAGCGGTGGTAGTGGCAAAGAGTTGGCTGGTTCGATCTGGACCGTTGGATGGGTCCAGATCGAACGGTCTTCGTGGGGCGTCGGCAGCATCCAAGGGAGAAACGTTGAGGCAGAAGGTTGCCTAGGGTTAGATGAGTCGGGTCGGACTGGCTGGGTCTCGGGTCGAATCCGGGTTGAACCTTGGGCTTGGTACTGCTGTTGGGCTCCGGGTTTGGGTAGATGACCCCTTGTAATTGGGCTCAATTTGGGCTGAAGGGGCTTGGATTTTTAAGGTTTGCGGTTATGAAAAAATGGTGATTGCAATATCTAGCATTAAGATGAGTGTCAGTTCGTGAGTCGGTTAAAAAATTGAAGACCCCACAATACGTAAAATTGATACCTAAAAGAATATTTTTTATCATCTTTTGAAATGAGAATTTAAATAACACTTTGAAAAACATATATTAATGAAATAATAAACATTAGCATAAAAAAATAAAACTAAGAATAAAAATACTTACATCCTAAATATGACACTACAAAAGGGAAAAATGTTAATGAAAAAACAACAATAATAATAAATAACTAAAAAGCAAGTTCTTAAACAGATGAAGATAACAGACATGTTGAGGGACAAATCCAAAAAAAAGTTAAGTGGGTCAAAATATCAAAAAGAAGAAAAAGAAAAAAGAACTTAATTAAAATAAAAACAAAATCGAAAGGACTAGAACATAAATAGCCCCAAAGAGTGCAAAAGGCGCAAGTCATGGGTTACTGGTTGGATCAGGTGTATGTCATGGGCACTCAGCCATCCGAGTCAAGTGTGAGCGCGCAGGTTACATTCCTATTCTAGTCCCTTGGGCTGAGCCTAGTTGGCTGGGATAGATGATGTTGGTTGTGAAGTCACTTTTGGAGTGTTTGTGCTTAGGGATGACCGATGGATAAGGTGGGAGCAATTGGCTCCTATCATATATTTTCTATTAAAAAAAATTCACCCTAAATTTTTATAAATTCATTCTCCTAACAAAAATATTGTGGCTGTCATTATTTGTGCTTGTGGACAAAAGCTTTGGGTTGTATCAAATGGTTTAGGTATAGGGTTGGTTGTGGCTTCGATTAGGCATATGTATGTAATGGCATCAAGGGGTTTAGGGTAACAAAGTCCATAGCCATAGGTGTTTTGTTGAGACTGTTATGGGGATATGGTCAAGAGGCCATAATCCACTCTCTCCCCATTAGTTCTTTTTCTTTTCTCTTTACTTTTTGTGTTGCTTATTGTTTTCTTTTTTTTTCATTTGTTGTAGCTAACCTTCGTTATTTTCTTATTTTTCTTTACAGATTAAATCAAGTTTGAATAACCCAAAATTGGAGCGATTTACATGAGGGAATTAAATCTGTTGAAAGTTTAGGGGATAAAAGTAAGTGTCGTGCAAGCTCTTGAAGAAGGGTTCAAATGGGTTTGATTGGCTTATTTTGTGGGTTGGGTTATTGGATACGTGTCAATGAATAGTACGAATTAGGTGTGCCAATGAATTAATTTGTCACGTGCCACAATAAACTATCAGTGATGATGATAATGACGATGATAGTTCTATTGAAGACCGCCTATTATGAAGAAATTCGAAGCGTAACCGCTGACGACCACATTGCGGAATCAGTTCACATAGAGGTGGTCTGTGAGTGGGAGGATATATATATATATATATATTGCTTTCTTTATAAATATCAATCTCAACATTTCTCATGTAAAAAATTATATTTCTATTGTATATAACACAATCCTTTCAAGTATTTATCAAACAAAAACGTAGATATTAATTACTAGAATAAATATTATTTATTTAAAAATGAATTTCACAAATACATATTATTTAAATAAACTAAAATTATAAAATAAATGAGTCTATTCGATTACGAGAAAAATAAAAATAATACTTAAATATCAATCTATTCAATTAAACTAATAAAAAGTAAATAAATTATTGCAATATAATTTAAATAATATAAATTAATTAAAAAATAAAACTGATTAAAATAATATATATTGATTTTTTTATAGAAGCTGTTAATTTAGAAAATATCCAAATTATAATAAAGGTTTATGACTAAAATCGTAAACTAAACACATAATAAAGATATTTTATTAGAAAAAATTATTCACTTAAGATCATAAGGACTATACAAAAATATTAAAAATCTAATCAAATATACTCGAACAAAAGGTAGATACGAAAATATCTGACTACATCGGTAAACGAACCACAAAAGGGGATAAAACAATTGAAAAATAAGACAAACTACAAATCAGAATCGAGCGACGTGAAAATAATATCCACGAATGCAAATCACATATCCAAATTCAATATGAGGGTCAAAGCAGGGAAGATCATCATGATAACAAATAACATCATCTTGATCAGTCGCATCGAAGTTAAATCCAACCCTAAAAAATAAAAAACAAAAAAAACGACCAACCAACCGAAAACATGTCATAAAGATAAAATTATTAAAAATAAAAACAAGAAAAAATAATAAATAAACACTATAATAAAGTAGATGAAAAATAATAAATACCGATAGTCGACGATCAACATTAAAATTAATGTCGTCGTCGATAACAAAAAAAAAAAAACTAACAACATCTAAAGAAAAAGAAAAAAATAGGACAAACTCCGAAGAGTGTGAGTTTGGTTTAATAATATACATTGATTTAAATAATTTAGACTAATTAAAATAATATATATTTTTAATGAGAGACAATTAGTAATTTGCGCCTCTTCTAAAGAGCCAATAAAAAAACTAATGCTTTGATACGCCTTGTTACATAGAGGAAAGACGTCCAACAAAGAACGCTTTTGGTAAGGTACAACCAACTAGATGTATTTTCGTCCTAAGTGGCAAAAAAATATAATATTTCTAGAATAATATTATTTAAGTGCTAGTTTAAAAATTTTATTTGAACTGAATTTTATTCCAACAAATTTGCCTAGTATTACCCAACATAGAAAACGGATAATATTACTTTGCACAAAGTACTATTTCCTTTTCTAACAAAATACTATAAAGCTTAGTGGAAATTTTATTAAAAAATTATAGCATTTTCTTTGGATGCAAGCATATAAAATTCTAATAGAGTTTGGTTTATATTCAATTAATTTGACAAATAGAAATTATGAACTGAACATCAATCTTCCATAATCCAAAATTTCATGGAAATTTGAGAATGGAAGCAAAAGACTATTGCAAGGAAGCAAACTGGGTGCTGGTTTGAATATAGAGGTGGTGGTGTGAAGGTCTTGTCCACGTCCGTCCGTGTACGCGTATAGCCTGTAATATGTTACAGGGCCTCAAAAAATGGGGACTCATATGAATGTCATTTAGGTCAATTCATATATAACTTTGTGACCTAGTGACATTTTCGTTCGAAGAAAAAATAAATTTTTCGGTTTGAAGGAAAGTGACAGAGAAAGTTACAAATAAATATGTTGACAGTATCTTTAATTATTTTTCATGGTGAACTTTGGTAAAAAGACTTCGTATATCCCTCATAATTTTAAATTTGACAAATTAATCTTTATTATAAAATTTTTAGGGTCTCACATTAGAAAATAACACAAAATCTATATATTTTTAAGACGGGCCTGATCTTAGTGGAGGTCCACGGGGAGTTGGGCTTTTCAGTTGAAAGCCTTTAGCATGGGTCCGGTGTTTGTAGGAAAGATTGAAATCAAACATTGTTTAGAAATTTGATTAAATATTTATCCTTATAACTGTCGAAACAATTTTTTCTTAATGGTGAGAAAAAGTGAGATTTTGATATAACCACATCAATTTTTAATTATCTCTTTTAATTAATTTTTAATTTAAAAACCTATTGTTTCAAAAAAATTTGGATTTCCTTTATGATCGGAAAAAAATACGGTTCAAAGAGTCGCCACCAATCTTTGATTAGGTGTGATTGGGCACCCAAAAATGTTTTGTTATTTTAAATAAAAAATAAAATTGATTTTAATTAAAACAACAAATTAAGGTATGCGTTACAAAAATGAATTCGAGAGTCGATTACGTGTGGGGAAGGATTAGCACCCCCACAACGCCCTAAAACGATACCTAGTCGAGTAATTAACGTCTTTGCAATGAACTTTAGAAATTCGAACTTAATTTGACTATTGATCCCATAAAACAAAGATGTAAATTTAAAAACATTCAAAAGCACTCAAATAAATTAAATTAAAATTACCAAGTCGTTTTAGAAAGATAAAGAGTGTTCGATTATTTACAAATATCGAGACCAGATCTTAAAAGCTATAACAACCTTTTCTAAATAAATTTAAATAAACGAACATTTCCTTTTCTTTCGTTCCCAAATTTTAGGTGAAGAATCAATTTTTAGACGTCACTAATGGGATACACTTTTATTTTAAAATCATTAAAAGCGGACCTCAAATGCGTTATGACAACCCACTTAAAACAATTTTAAATTAAAAGTGTATTACCCTTAATCCAATTTGTAATATGTCGAGTTATGCAAATGAGGTTACCATGCGAATCGTGCAAAAAAGGATGTCATGCCAAAATTAATTAAACAAAATTAAAAATATCATACAACGTGACATACAAAAAATTATATACGTATATTTTAATTAAAAATCATAAATTATGCATATTAACATATTATGTACAAATATAACTCAAATATAAAAACAAAAACATAACGTGCTAAACTAAAAATTTAAAAAGTGTATATATACATAAATGTAATGACTAAATTTAAATGTACGTAAAATTAAATTTATAAATAAGAAATAAATCAGTGACCTAAATATAAAATACACATAAATTACAGGGTATAGATAAAATTTATTCTATTTGGCTCAAGCTAAAATAATATGAAAAATTACATAAATAGTGCCTACACATTCGAAAAAATTAGAAAATTAAAATAAATAAAGAACTTCTTTAAAAGAATGCACCCAAATTTAGAGGACCTAAGCATAATTTACCCTAACAAATACGGTGACTAAATCATAATTTAACCAAAAAAGTTTACTATATAAGTTAACTAAAAAAAAACCTATGTAATTTGTTAAAACTAAGAACATAGTTGCTCTCTCTCCACTCATCTCACGCTACTGTGAACCTCTCTCCCTCACTACTCATGCGGCGCATCTCACAACCGTTAACCCCGACCACCGTAAACGACGAACGACCTTCGACCCCAATATGCAAAGCCGAAAAAAACACTCCGATAGACCATTCTACATGACCAAGCATCAGGTAAAACACTAAACTTTCCCTTTATTTCATACCTCAAAAGAAAACCCACTGTTTGCTAATAACTTTAAACAAGCTTTGTAAATTTAAAATTATTTTCCAATATTCTGATTTTTCAATCTCCCAAGCCCTCACTTACGCTCTCGACCAACACTACTGTGCGATGAAACTACGACCAGATGAGCCACTCTTAAAACAAATTTCAATCTAGACCTGAAGTATAACAGGTAAATCGAGACTAACTTAATATTTCTACTTGCTTCGAATAAGAGCGATAAATATGTGCGCTTAGTATTTATAAAGTATCAAGAAGACAACCTGCTTGTATTGATTCTACTGCTTTTCGGAAGAGAAAGCCGAATCCTTTGTTACACTGATTGATCTTTGAATATGTGGCAAAAAATATCTTACACACACTGTTTTTTTGGTTCATGCTCTATTGTGTTAAAAAACAAATAAAATGGTCTTTCGTCCCTCTCGTAATGGTGATGAATTATTGATATCTCTCTAGTTCTTTTTTTTTCTGTTTGTGTAATTTTTTTGAAAAAACTCCTATCTCTCTCTCGTATTTTTTTTTTATGATCATCCCTCTCTTGATAGTTTCCAGTAGTTAATTTTTTATTTCAAAACAGTTTCCTCATTCTCATGTATGCACCCCATTTCCCGTTTCTTAACTTCCCATAACCATTTTTATTTTACAGGGAATCTTCACGTGGCCTACTCTGTTGGATCATTGGATCGGGCCTCCAACTGGTTTGGATTCTTCTTTAAGCCCACCGTTGCTTCGGGTCTACTCCGACTCAGCCTCGGACAAATAGAGTATCTACACCTGCCCCTCTTTGCTCATTGTCGTATAAAGATAATAGAGCAAAGATAAAAAGATGATCGAATTTGTCCGATCATGAGAACTTCAAAAGGTTAAACCACTCACTGTTACTTCGGGATAAATGACTTGAAAAAAATCTTCAAATTACGCTCCCCATTCTTTCAAGGAGTATAAGACTCGAACAATCTTCAACAAATGGGTCCGCTCTCTATTCCTTGAAAGAGTATAGGACTTGAATAATCTTCAACAAACGGGTCCGCTCTCTATTCCTTGAGAGAGTATAGGACTCAAACAATCTTCATAAAACGGGTCCGCTCTCTATTCCTTCAGAGAGTATAGAACTCGAACAATCTTCAACAAACGGGTCCGCTCCCTATTCCATCAGAGAGTATAGAACTCGAACAATCTTCAACAAACGAGTTTGCTCCCTATTCCATCAGAGAGTATAGAACTCGATCTTCATAAAATGAGTTTGCTTCACTACTCTTCCGTGAAGGCTTAAGATTGACTTGTTTCGAAGGTCAAACCTGAAAATCAAACATTATCAATCATGAACATATGCTTGAAAATATTATATTCTAA